TCCTGCGCCGCCGCGCGAGCCGTCACTGCAGACACCCAGACAAAGCGCCAGCTCGCGGGCCCCTTCCCCATCCGAGGACCGGGAGCCTGTGTCACATGTCTCTGGGCCCCCTCCCTGCACGCCCACACACGCCCACGCGCCCCGCGGCGCAGGCAGGACCGGGCGCAAACCGCACTGGTGCCGGGACCCTTGCCTTCACAGCCACACACTGAAGGTCACAACTGGTCTGCATCACCGAGTCACGTGGAGGGTCCCCAACATGGGGCCGGGGCGACGCCCACAGTGGGGGTGGGGCATTCGGGTGGGGACCCCCCCCTACGGGGAGCGACCGCGCCACCACGGCCCCAGCTGGCCCACTTCCTGGCCCCAGTGGGCGGTGGTGGCGGCGGCTCTGGCTGGAAGCTGAACCTGCAGGTCTTTCCTGCCTTTCTGAAAGGGAGACCAGAGGGGCTGGGGACACTGAGCAGAGACCCAGGTCTGCGCGCTAACCCTGTTTGCGCCCCTGGTGGTCCCCCCAGCCAGAAGCCCCACCTCCTACTGCTACTCCATTCAGTGTAGCTCCTGCCTGTCACCTCTCTCCAGACCCAGCTGGGGAGAAGAGGGCCTGCAGGGAAACTTCTGCCTTGCCAGCAGGCACCAGCGCCAGAGCACAGCTGGAGAACACTGGCTTTGCACCCACGGCCAGGCCTGGCCCTCCTGCAGGGGTGTTTGTGAAATGGTGCACTGGAGCCTGCCCTGGCCAACCTTGGGCTGAGTGTTTAGGAGCAGGGTTCACCACTGTTCCTGCCCATGTGACCTGGGTTCTTCCAGTGAGTTCAGCCAGGTGATATCCCTATTTCTTTCTTTTTTTAAATTGTGCTAACTATACAGAGAACTGGTTTCACCTCCTTAGTGCGCAATCACCCTCACCATAATGTGCAGCCACCTCCACTGCCTTTGTCACCTCTCTACTTCGAGTGTCCGTCCCTCCCAGAAGCTCTGTGTCCATGATGCAGTGCTGCTCCACTGCCTGCAGCCCCTCCTCCATGCCTTCCAGGCCCTGGTCTCTAGGAACTTGCCTAGGCATTTCATGCAGGGTGCACCTGCAATCCCTCCCCTTGTGCTTGAGCTTTGGGGTTGCTTCTGGTCCGCATCACATGGTCCAGGCCCCTCCCCTTTAGGGCATCACTCTTCAGGGCCGAGTACTACTACATTGTGCAGGCTGGTTCTGGGCTGCTGATACTGATGCCATGAGCACTGGCATTCACCAGCTGTTTTGAGTCTGTTTTCAGTCCCTTGGGGCATACAACTAGAACTGCTGGTCCACGTGGGTCTCAGAAAGCCCTGGTGGCACAGGGGTGAAACACTCAGCCGATAAACTGACAGGTTGGGCTGGAAGGGGTGAACAGCAAGAGGACATGGCCAATCGCAGCCTTGGCACCCGAGTGGCCGCTGCCTCTGCCCTATAGGGTGGCCATGAGTTGGAATTGCCTGGATGGCAGTAGGATGGAAATTCTTTTCAAGGAACTGCCAAGCCGTTTTGCAGAGTAGCTGTGCCATTTTACAGTCTCCTCAGCGACATCACAGGGTTCGCTTTCCCACATCCTCGCTATCCATCCTAGTGAGCTTGAAGCTGTAGCTCCTGATGATTTTGATCTGCACTTCCCTGATGAGTCCTGATGTTGAGAACCTTTTCATGTGTTTCTTGGCCATTTGTAGACAGGTGGTCCCAGCTTATTAACACCTTGCCACAAGCCTGTCCTTATCCTTAGTAAGGCACACTGCATGCAGTGCTGCGGGGCATGGTTTGCTGATGTCACCATTCTCGTGCCAGTCCCCCAAAGACGGACTGATAACAAAACCAGTAATCATGAAATGCACTGGGGGGAAGGTAGGTATCGCACAGGCATCAGAACTCTTAGGATGGGGCTCTTGGCACAGACCATCTTCCCGAGGCAGGACTGCCTGTGTTTTCTTGAGTGAGATGTCTGTTGCATCCTTTGCCCAGCTCACAGTCCATCTTTCTGTTGTTGATTGTGGGAGTTTTCTGGGTCTCTAGGATCCTAACCCGACCAGACACGAGACTTGCAGGTACTTCCTCCCGCCCTGTGGGTTGTCCTTGCACCCTCTGTATAGTCTTTTGATGCCCATTTTAAATTTTAATGAAGGACCCAGTTATCTATTTTTTTCTTTTGTTGTGCTTTTATTGCTCAAGGTGGTGCAGACTTGTCCTGGCACTTTCTTCCAAGCGTCTGGTTTTAGCTCTTGCATTAGGGCTTTTGTTTGAGTCTACCCTCTGTATGTAGTTAAGATCAGGTCGAACCTCATTCTCCCCCACCCCCTCACGGAGAGCCACTTTCCTTCCAGTGGCCAGGACAGAGAAGACTGACCACTCTCCATTGAGTGTTCTTGGTCCCCTTGTCAGAAGCCAGTGGACCATCTAGATGAGGGTTTCTTTCTGGGCTGTCTTCTATCCCATCACACCTGAGTTGGTCTCTATGGCAGTACCACACCCTTTTGATTATTGTAGCTTTCGGGGGAAGGTTTGGGACCTGGAAGTCTGAGTGCTCCAACTTGGTTCTTTTTCCCGATGCCTTTGGCTGCTCAGGGTGCTTTGCAATCCCCTACAAATTATGATGGGTTTTTTCTTTTCTGAAAAATATGCCCTTGGGAGTTTGGTCAGGGTGGCCGTGACACTGAAGATGGCAAGATTTGTCATCTTGTCCCCATTTCTTTAGGAGGGCAGGAGACATGTGCGAGGGTTTTCTGTTCCTGTCACACCTGGCATGAGGCAATGCTGGCTGTGTCGCCCAGTGGACACTGGAACACTGGTGGAGGGCACTCTCTCCACTCAGGCCACCAGGTGATGGGAGCCTCAGAGTCACTGGTCACTGCCTTTAAAGCTGGCCTTTGGGTCTCTGCTGAAGATGCCATCTGAAATTGTGACTGGGTGAGATGACATCGCTCAAGTGAAAACCGCACTGTCAACACTGGTATGCACACTAGAGCCCCAGCCACATGGCCTTAGCCACAGGCCTCTGGGTCAAATTATGCCCTTGCCCCACCTTCCTGCTGCTCACCCAGGAAATGCATGGGACACACGGACTCAGCGTCCCTGTGCCTTCGCCTCCAGGCTGGTGAGGCACGCAGATGACCAAGCCCCCAACATATCTACCTGTCTAGTGTTCCCTACAGCACCAGCCACCATAGCCAACCGTGGGCACAGCCCTAACATCTTCCAATGGACTATTACTCAGTCCCCAGAGACCGGGAGTTTGGTCACGTCATGGCATTGGGTGAAATGTGAAAACTCGGTGTCCTTCACAGAATCCCATTTCTACAAATAGCTAACCACAGGCAGAGGCCAAGGTGTTTGTTGGGGACTGGAGGATGGAGCAGAGTCAGTGTACTGTGCACTGACGGCACAGGCAGCCCCCAGGTTATGGAAGTCCACATGGCCATCAACCAGTGGTTAGGATCCAAGCCCCAAAAGCTTATTGCTTTATTAGGCTTAAGAGGTGGCTGCAGTGGTTCATGCTGACACGGGCTCCCTCGTCACTGCTCTGTTACATTGTATCCAAAGGGCTTTCCTCAGTGCAGCCTATACCCTGGAAAGCCTACTAACCTATATGCCCAAATCAACATTTGGCCAGCTCTTCTGACATATATAAATTTGGTGTTGGAATGGAGCTGGTTGGGAACACCCCCTAAGCAGGGGGTCTGCCTGAAGTTACATTGCCATATTGTGCAACTGTATCACCCACTTGTCAAATTTGTTCATCACCCCACACAGGCCCTCACTGAAAATGACCAATGCTGTGTTAACATGTCCTTGCTACATACAGAGGAGGAACCTCAATGACTGCAACAGTGGGCTCAAACAACAGGAGTGCTGCCAATGATGTGGCTGTGCAGTGCTCCCTTGTGCACGGAGTCGCTGTGGGTCAGATTAGTTGATGGCACCGAATACCTGCACTGTAACTAACATCGATGACCACAGCTTGGCAGCAGTTCTCTGCAGGGGTCTGGGAGGGCCAGGCCCTGCTGCTTGAGCAGGAAGGCTTACGTGCCTAGACCTGCAGGAGGCTCTTGCTGGGCAAGGCAGCGTATTGGCATGGCTGGAGGAGGCTGCTGGCGATGGAGATGAAATTGTCTAGGGATGACCTGTGGGAGACTGCCTGCCCTAAGGCGGGCGGGGTGCAGGGTGGATGTAGGTGGACTTGGGCATCAGGATTCCAGAGCCACAGTCAGCGAGGACGGGGAAATCTTCCACTGGGTAGCAGAATGGCCAGAGCATGTGCACTGAGGCAGCCCCTGGGGTGATCCTAGTGAGGCCATTGCCTCTTCCCAGGATTGTGGCAGGGAAGGTGGTGTCCCTTGAGCACAGCAAGCTTCTGTGGGACCTTGGGAGCTGCCCCTCAGGCCCTCTGTCCACCCTTTTCCTACAGACCAACATCCCCTTCCTGCAAAATGTGCTCAACAACCAGCAGTTCCTGGCGGGCACCGTGGACACCCAATTCATCGACGAGAACCCAGAGCTGTTCCAGTTGCGGCCTGTGCAGAACCGTGCCCAGAAGTTGCTACACTACCTGGGTACATCCCCTACCCGGCCCACCCCTTATTCTTATACCACCCTCTCTCCTTGCCTGGTCCCCTCTTGTATCCTCCTGCCCTTCCTCATGAACCCCGCCCTGCTTTGCTCATGGTCGTAGTGAACTCCCTCTCCTGTGCCTACACCCAGTGGGTGGACAGGCAGCTGGAGGGTCAGAGAGCCCTGAGTGGCTTGCCTCCTTCCTGCCCTGACTTACTGCCCTTTCCCCCACAGGACACGTCATGGTGAACGGCCCCACGACCCCGATCCCTGTCAAGGCCAGTCCCAACCCCATTGACCCTGTGGTCCCCACGGTGCCCATAGGTAGGTGAGTGGCAGGGGATGGGTTGGAAGGAGGTTGTGGCCTGCCAGCTGAGTGCAAACGCCCTCTGCCCCAGGCCCGCCGCCTCCTGGCTTCCGAGACATCCTGCTGCGAGAGGGGCCTGAGGGCTTCGCCAGAGCTGTGCGGAACCACCAGGGGCTGCTGCTGATGGACACGACCTTCCGGGATGCCCACCAGTCCCTGCTGGCCACCCGAGTGCGCACCCATGACCTGAAAAAGATTGCACCCTATGCCGCCCACAACTTCAGCAGTCTCTTCAGCATGGAGAACTGGGGAGGTGAGCCCTGTGGGTCATGGCTGTTTGCATAGTTCCAGGCCCTGTGGGGTGGGCGGGACGTGCGTACCCTAACCTGGTTCTGCCCCTCAGGAGCCACGTTTGATGTGGCCATGCGCTTCCTGTACGAGTGCCCCTGGCGGCGACTACAGGAGCTCCGGGAGCTTGTCCCCAACATCCCCTTCCAGATGCTGCTGCGTGGGGCCAACGCTGTGGGCTACACCAACTACCCTGACAACGTAGTCTTCAAGTGAGCAGCCGGCCTGTGGTTGGGCCCCAGGGTCCCTGGGGAGGGCCCCTCCACCCCCCTGGGGTCCCTAAGGGCTTTGGGCTGACCAGCTGCCTGCCACACAGGTTCTGCGAGGTGGCGAAGGAGAACGGTATGGACGTCTTTCGAGTCTTTGACTCCCTCAACTACCTGCCCAATCTGCTGCTGGGCATGGAGGCGGCGGGCCGTGCCGGGGGTGTGGTGGAGGCCGCCATCTCTTACACGGGGGATGTGGCTGACCCCAGCCGCACCAAGTACTCGCTGCAGTACTACATGGACCTGGCGGAAGAGCTGGTGCGCGCCGGCACCCACATCCTGTGCATCAAGGTGCCCACCCTGGCCTGGGTGCCCCTCACCACCACTCCCTGCCCACAGTCTTGTCCACTTCATCCTCTCTCTCCCCCAGGACATGGCAGGGCTGCTGAAGCCTGCAGCCTGCTCCATGCTGGTGGGCTCCCTTCGAGACCGCTTCCCCGACCTCCCGCTGCACATCCACACTCACGACACGTCGGGAGCAGGCGTGGCGGCCATGCTGGCCTGTGCCCAGGCCGGGGCTGACGTGGTGGATGTGGCAGCTGACTCCATGTCTGGGATGACATCACAGCCCAGCATGGGGGCCCTGGTGGCCTGCACCCGTGGGACCCCCCTAGACACAGGTAGGACCAGTGGGAGCTGTGAAGGGTCCCTGGTGGTCTGCCGATCCCAGTGGCATCAGCTCCCTGGCCTAGCTGCCACCAAGGCCTCCTGTCCCCACGACTGATGGGTCCTGTACCAGTCCAGGGGTAGGGAAAGAGACCCCCAGAGCTTGGGGTCCTGGGCCCACTCTGACACCACCTCCCACAGGAGTCCCCCTGGAGCGAGTGTTTGAATACAGCGAATACTGGGAGGGGGCCAGGGGGCTGTACTCAGCCTTCGACTGCACGGCCACCATGAAGTCCGGCAACTCAGATGTGTACGAGAACGAGATCCCAGGGGGCCAGTACACCAACCTGCACTTCCAGGCCCACAGCATGGGGCTAGGTGCCAAGTTCAAGGAGGTGAAGAAGGCCTATGTGGAGGCCAACCAGATGCTGGGTGACCTCATCAAGGTGAGCCAGTCCCCATGGGCCCCCAGCCCTCCTGCAGCCCCCTGTCTCCCTCCCCCCACCTTAACTGGCACCTCACCTCCAGGCCCTCCTCCTCAGGTGACCCCCTCCTCCAAGATTGTGGGAGACCTGGCCCAGTTCATGGTGCAGAATGGGCTGAGTCGGGCTGAGGCTGAGGCCCAAGCTGAAGAGCTGTCCTTCCCACGCTCAGTAGTGGAGTTCCTGCAGGGCTACATCGGAGTCCCCCATGGTGGCTTCCCCGAGCCACTGCGCTCCAAGGTAGACAGGTCCTGCCGGGGGGATGGGGGGGGTGGGCGGCGGCAGGAATGGGCCTGACCTCTGCCTTCTTCCCAGGTGCTGAAGGACCTGCCGAGGGTGGAGGGGCGGCCCGGTGCCTCCCTGCCCCCACTTGACCTGCAGGCCCTGGAGAGGGAGCTGATCGAGCGGCATGGGGAGGAGGTGACCCCTGAGGACTTGCTCTCCGCAGCCATGTACCCTGACGTCTTTGCACATTTCAAGGACTTCACTGCCACCTTCGGCCCCCTGGACAGCCTCAACACCCGCCTCTTCCTGCAGGGACCCAAAATCGCAGAGGAGTTTGAGGTCAGTGCCAGCCACCACTGCCCAGCCTCCTTGGCCCCCAGCTCCAGGTGGTGGCCTATCCACTCCTACTGAGCAACGGCTGGCCTCCTGCAGGTGGAGCTGGAGCGGGGCAAGACACTGCACATCAAGGCATTGGCCATGAGTGACCTGAACCGCGCCGGCCAGCGGCAGGTCTTCTTTGAGCTCAATGGGCAGTTGCGTTCCATCCTAGTCAAGGACACACAGGCCATGAAGGTGAGGGAGCAGGGCCTTGGTGTGGTGGGTGGGGCCACAAGGGGCCTGCTCTCACATGCCCTCTGCCCTCCCACAGGAGATGCACTTCCACCCCAAGGCCCTGAAGGATGTGAAGGGCCAGGTTGGGGCACCCATGCCAGGCAAGGTCATTGACATCAAGGTGGCAGCAGGGGCCAAGGTGACCAAGGGCCAGCCTCTCTGTGTGCTCAGCGCTATGAAGATGGAGACTGTGGTGACTGCGCCCATGGAGGGCACGGTCCACAAGGTCCACGTGACCACGGACATGACGCTAGAGGGTGATGACCTCATCCTGGAGATGGAGTGACTGCCCAGTGCAACCTGGCCACTCCTCCCTCAGAAACTGCTGATGGGCGGGCTGGGTGACCAGTGTGAGGGTAGGCAGGCCCCGCCCTGGAGGCCCTGGCTTTCTGCCACGGGTGGCAGGGAGGGGCCTGGCCTCCAGCCACCCCAGCCCTTGCCTTTCCCATTGGAGGGTCACACTCATCTGTCATCTCTTGCCAAACAGGGGCCCTTCACCACAGATGACAGGTGGTGAAGTGGGCCTAGGGCCTGGGGAGAGGCTTGGGGCCCTTGGGGGGATCTTGGACCCCAGTGCCCAGGACCATGTTCAATAAAGCTGGCTTCATTCTACCCATCTGCGCCCTCTGGTTCCTCCCGCCACAGCTTGAGGGGCTTGGAGATGGTGATGACAGTGGTTAGTATTTCAGTCGCTATCACATGCCTAGTGCCACCACAGAGCCCTGGTGGCACACTGATTACATTACTGGGACAACTACAAGGTCAACAGTTCGAAACCACCAGTCAGTCCTCTGGAGAAAAATGATGCTATCTGCTCCCTTAAAGAGTTAAAATCTAGGAAACTCACATGGGTGATTCCTCCTGGCCCTACTAAGGTGCTATGCAAGTTGGAACCTACTGAGTCTGGGTGTTATGTGCTGCCCAAGCAAGATGAGGTACTTGTTACTGGGAGCTTAGAGGAGTGGGATGGGGGCTCCTCTAAGCACCAACACACCTCAGGGGTCGCCACCCACACCAGTTGTTATAGTCTGGGTGCACCTGAGGGTGGCCCCCTTCTTTTGAATTATGGAGAGGAGGAGTGGCCTAAATTCTCAAGACCACACTGTGATCCTGAGCCAGGCATGTGCCTCCTTAGTTTGGGGTCAGAGCCTCCGAGGTCAGTTCTTTGCGAGTCTTGTTCTTTTCAGGGCTCTGCCCAGCCTGTCAGGTTCCGCCATAGGCTGGACAAGTGGTGATCTGAGGCGGAGATACCCAGCAGAGCCCTGCCCAGGGTCCTCTCAGCCCCACCTGTGTCCTCCTGGGTGGGTAAGGGGAAGGCTCCGCTAGGCAGGGTCCACACCAGGGCAGCCCCAGGGTCCCTCGGTCCTCCAGTCCAGAGAGCTCTGCCTGCTGGCTGAGTGCCCAAGTGTGGCATTCAGAAGGTGGGGATAGGTGTGGACCCCCTCCTGATAACTGTCCGTAGCCTCACCCTGATGCTGGCTCCTGAAGCTCCCAGGCCGGGTTACCCAAGTTAAATCTCTTTAATATCCCAGTACAAAGTCCTGATGCAAAAAGAATGAGAAAACCCTGGGCAGGTGGTGGTGGGGGCCACAGGTTCTACCCCCAAGCAGCTTTTCTGAGGCCGCGGGAGCAGAGGGCCTCAGAGAAGGAGTCCAAGTGAGGGGGCATGGCTTTGGGACCTGCCCGTCCCCTCACCCCAGCTGTCTCTTGGCCCCTCTGGGCAGGGCTGAGCTTGAGGACATCTCCTTCTCTTGGTCCCTGGGAGTCAACTAGCTCTGGCTTTGATCCCCTACAAAAATTCCTGAGATCTCGGGGACCCCAGCCGCCCCAGTCCTGCGGGGCCTCTTGGCAGGGAGGGGCTGGGAGCCCGTTAGCGTCCGTGAATCGTTAAGCAGCAGCTCGGGTCAGGAGCACAGGGGGGCCTCTGAGTCCCCAGCCCGCTCCAGGAGCACACACAGGGGCAGGCTGCCGTAGAGCTTGGGGTCCGTGAGAGGCTGCAGCAAGAGCAGGAAGAGTCCTACACCCAGGGCGTAGCCAGCCAGCAGGGGTCGCCGCTGCGGGTGCTCCAGGGCAGCCCACACAGCAGGGAAGCCCATGTAATTGCAGAAGGAGTGGCAGAGGACGGGGCCGATCAGGTGTCCTGGGAGGAGACAGCAGCAGCTCATGGTGCAGCCCGCCCTCCTCTGGACTCTTCCAAGGCAAAAGCCCCCCACCCCCCACCCCTCACTCGTCTCTGGCTTCTGCCGCCTCCCAGGCTGAGTGCTCGGCTCAGCCTGTCTCAAGGACCACAGGCACAGAGACTCCCACCCACCCAATAGGTTCTGAGCTCTCAGGACCCGAGAGGGACCCACCTGTGCGGATGAAGAGGAAAGCTGTGTAGGCACCGAAGACGACGGTGTAGGAGAACTGGAACGCTGGAGACGGAGGCCAGGTGACCACACCTGCACATACACCCACCGCCCACAGCCTCCCTCAGCGCCCAAGCACCCAACAAAGTCCTGTAAGGCTCTCCATCTCCCTCCATCCGGGAAACCCACCCCCTGCTGCAGGCTGGCTCCCCGACTCACCCGCAGACAGGAAGATGCTCCCCACACTGCTCTGGCGGAAACGTAGCTGCTCGATGATGTGGTGGAAATGGGCTGCAAGGCAGGGGGTAGAGGCCAGAGTATGTCACACCCCCAGCCTCTTCCCATCCAGCCCAACCCTCCAGGGAGAGCCTGGACAGGAGTGGGCTGCACAGACTCACCAACTCCGAAGAATAGTGGGCAGGTGAGCACAGCCGGGCCCAGGCCGGTGCACGGGGCCAGCATGGGCAGCATGCAGGCTCGGAACACCAGCTCTTCTGTCAGTGGCGCTATCACTTGGTTCCGCAGCCAACGCATGTCTGAGAGGCAGCGGGCCCAGGAGCGGGGTGCTGGGGGGTCAGAACAAGCAACACGGGTCTACTTCTTCATGGAAATGAGCCTTCCCAGACTGCTTACGCCTTCCCCACCTCAGCTCGAGGGCCCTGTTGAGGTAGGCCATGCTGAAAACAGACTTGAAATGTCCGGTTGCCCAGAATAGCTCTGGTGTGGGGGTCAGGATTAGGAGGCGTCGGGGCAGAGCCTCTCAGAGGTCAGGAATGGCCACCCTGCTGTTTTACTGAGAAGGAAACCCTTACAGATGTGGTCTCCTGTCCAGGTCACACTGGAGGCCCTCTGACCCCTGGCTGCAGCCCCCTGGTGCTGGAAGGCTTGTTTGAGTAAGGACTCACCAAGGACAACCTTCAGCCCATCGGCCAGGTCACAGGGGCAATCCATAGAGAGCTGCATCAGTGGGCCCAAGAAAAGGATCTGCAGGCAGACAGGAGGCTCAGTCATCATCCCCCACCAGGGCCATGGGCAGGATGGGGGGTGGGGCGGCACTTATAGAGTTGTCCACACATGCATACCCCAGGGCTGGCACACATTTCCCAGCTGCACCAGCCCCCAAACCAAGCACAATCAGGATGAGGGGTTAAGGGTGCCGGGGCGCCGAGCACTCACCATGGTCAGCAGCAGGGGCAGCAGCGCTGCTGGGAAAATGCCCTCCAGTCTGAAGCCCATCAAGGTGAGCAGGGATGTGCCTGGCTGAGCCACAGGAAAGGGGGCATCAGTTTTGCTCCCTGTGTGCCGCCCTCCCCTGCCTCTGCCCCGCCCCCCGCACCTGGATGCCTGTGAGCTCCCTCCAGAGTAGCACGCAGAGGGGCGACAGGCTGGACACCACCAGGACACTAGTGAAGCGCCGCTTGATGACGGCGGGGTGGTCCCTGCAGAGGGGACAGTCAGTGTGGACCCGCCCAAGCTCCGCCCGCAGCCCCGCCTCGCGGGGACGCGCCCCGGCCGCGCGCGGCCCCGCACCTGGGCAGCTCGCTCTTCCAGACGTAGAGGCTGCCCACGTAGGAGCAGGCCAGGCTGAGGCACGAGAACACCGACACCCAGCAGCACAGCCCGGGGCCCGGCCCGCCCAGCGCC